CCTTAGCTTGTAGCATGTGCGCTTTCGCAGAATTTCATTTCATCCGCAGCATTGGGAATGCGGCTAATCGTATCTTCGCCTCACGATTGATCGACGACGTGATGTTAGTGGTTTCCAGTGCGAGGCAGGCGAATGACAATTGGATTCTGGAATCCTTTGAGCAGTGCTATCCCAGCAATTTGCAGCTCAAGCATACTGATGATGGCGGTGGATGTTTCAAATTTTTGGGATGCCAAGTGCGTGTTTCACAGTCATTTCCATTCATGGGCTGTGTACAACTCTCAGAGAACGATGACTGTATGTGGTCCTCTGACCGGTTGAGAGTCCAAAATGGGCAATCTTACCTATCCTGGGGTTGCAAACGGCAGAAGAATGCCGCAATCGGTAGTTATCTGCGTCAGATTGACAGGAATACTTCCATCCGCTCGGAAATCCCAGGGAGAGCCATCACAGTTCGTCATGAGCTTTCGTTGACAGATGTTCCGGACTTCGTCTTCTCGGGGGTTTTGAAGCGATTTGCAGTACGCTTGGATGAGATTTGGCAACTTACTGTTGATCTTCTGTCCTGATTTCATGGATCAATCGTAAGCATCGGACAGGGCTTGGAATGCTATGTACTCTTACAAGACCGGAAATCTGAATGATCGAACAGGGCCTTCTGCTGTTTTGGTAATTGGACAGGGTTCATCGGAGAGGGTTTTCCGTTGTTTCAAGTACTTCAGCTGCGTTACGGACTTTGAAGTTTTGCTTCTTTGGTTTTGCTTAGTAGGGTTCGAACCCGGTATCCCATTTGCTCGAGTTTTTGCGTGATTTGTGTAGGTTTCGGTTCAAGCACCTTGTTGGTTTGCTTCCATTTGGTTTGCTGATTTGTATAGGATCCGAACCCGGTACCAAGGGATACCACTGCTGCTTATAGGCCTTTGCTTTGTTGGGTCTTGAACCGTGGACTTCGGATTGCCTTTGGTATTGCACGATACCCCTTACTGAGCTTCGAAGTAGTTACTGCGTCAAATGTTACTTGGCTAGGATAGTGGGACGTTACCTGTGAGACTATCTTACATCAACGCGTTGCGGTTGTCGCCCTCTTGAGTCGTGCACTCGGCTGCTTCCATCGACAGTAATGACAGTAGCCGACGTGCGGGTATGTGGTGACGTTGGAGGTTCTTGGGGTTGAAGGAAGGAATTGAATGGACTCTTGGTAGATTTCTTTGACTTGTTGATTTGTCAACTGGAGTATATGTATGTATCTCCAGTGTTTGACTTGTCTTTCTTCTATCATACAACTTACTTTCATGGATGAAAATTTGAAAATTCAGGTTTAGGATTTTATGTCAAGTCATAGTCAGTGAGTGCCCTCCAAAATTCAGAGACCTTCACACAGAACGACCAACAAGGATTCTCTCTCTCTCTCTCTCTCTCTCTCTCTCTCTCTCTCTCTCTCTCTCTGTGTGTGTGTGTGTGTGTGTGTGTGTGTGTGTGTGTGTGCTTGTCTGTGTGTGTGCTGTCAATAAGAGAGATTTCTCCCCAGCTACGCTAAACCACCTGACTCAGAGGACGTCAAAACATGAACACCAGTACTGCCGCTTGGAAGTCGCTGAAGTCAAAAAAGCAAAAAGCGCCCTACTCGCCCTGCCCCCCCACCTCAGGAAAAGGAAAGAAAAGGAAAGAAAAGAAAGAAAAGAAAAGAAAAGAAAAGAAAAGAAAAGAAAAGAAAAGAAAAGAAAAGAAAACACGAGTTCTGCCTTTCATGTGAGCAGCTTAGAGACAGAGATAGATATCACAGCATTCACACAGACATTCCAAGTTCAAAACAAAATGACACACGTCAACTCAATTTGAAATTTGAAATTTGAATTAAAAACACAGCACATGAGAAACGCGGTTGACACCAAATTCCTTTTCAGTTGAAACTCCAAACACGTTTCGACCGGACACCATGCGGGTCTCATCGCAGCGCGTTTTCATGTTCCCTTCCTTTGAAAATGAAAATGAAAATGAAAACTACAATTTAAACTTGGAAGTTAAAACCCTTATGGTGGCTCCACCTCAGATCTATCGTGAAAACCAGTTTCACCATCAACTATAACCCACAGTTCGAAGCTCACTCAAACCATTGCTTTTTGCTTTAAGACTTTCAGTTTAATAAAGTTTAAACTTTAAAAGTCACAGTCAGCCCCACCCAGGGGATGCCCTCATGTTTACGCCCCACTCTTCGTTCAACAGGTGACGAAAAGTAAGAATCACTAAGGGCATACTCAAACTTGAAACTATCGTCTTTTCACCGGAAATAACGCCCGGGCGTTGTATACGGATAATACTTGCGGCGCACCGGCACTGTTCGCTGCGCAGTGCGAGGACCCAGGGTGCGCGCGCACCGGCGCGCGCCGCGCATCTGGGTGCGCAGTGCGCGCTGCGCACGTCTGGTGTGCTGCGCGCATGTGCGCAATGTATATTTCCATGTTCTAGCGGTAGATTCATTTGATTTTGTTCTCTCTCTCTCTCTCTCTCTCTCTCTCTCTCTCTCTCTCTCTCTCTCTCTC